TTGGAGAAGACTCTTGAGAGTCCCTTGGACTGCAAGGAGATCCAACCAGTCCATCCTAAAGGAGATCAGTCCTGGGTGTTCACTGGAAGGACTGAGGCTGAAATTGAAACTCCAATACTTTGGCCACCTCATGTGAAGAACTGACTCATTTGAAAAGACCCTGATGCTGGGAAAGATTGAGGGCAGGAGGAGAAGGGGATGACAGAGGATGAGATGGTTGGTTGGCATCATCGACTCAATGAACATGAGTCTGGGTGAACTCCGGGAGTTGGTGATGGACAGGGAAGCCTGGCGTGCTGTGGTTCATGGGGCCACAAAGAATCAGACAAGACTGAGTGACTGCACTGAACTGAACTAATCCAATATGACTGGTTATAAAAGGAAAAGACAGACACACAGGCAAGATGTCCATGCACGAAGAGGAAGGGAGATGTGGAGTGATGCAGCTGCAAAGTCAGGGTTCCCAAGGATGGACAGCCAGTGCCAGAAGCTAAGAGGCAAGGAGGATTCTATCCAGAGTCTCTGAGGGAGTATCAGTGGGAGTAGAGTCTCAGAGGGACCTTGCCCGCATATTGCTTTCAAACTTTCAACCTCCAGCACTGGGAGAGAATACATTTCTATTGTCCTAAACTACCCAGGTTGGGGTATTTTAGTACAGCAGCCCTAAGAAATGAACCCAACCTCTCAGTTCAGGTATAAGGCCTGACTCTCATCTCTGGAGAGTTCTCCCCTCTATCCCTTCACAATGAGAGCCAGGCTGGACCAGAATGTGCTCAAGTGATAGGAACTGCCTTCAGAAGAGTGAGAATAAAAACAGGGGTCTGGGAAGATCGCATGGTCCCAATGAGTATGTTACAGAGAAGGAATATTATTTTGAGTCATTAAAGCATTATCTGTACATGTAACACCTGTGTCTGGCTCCTAGAGGAATGTGAGCTCCTGGGAGGACATAGTTAAACAGGAGCCTAGGAATCTGCCGTGTTCCCCCACCAGGGCTCAGACCAAGAAGTCTGCATCTTTAAAACCTTCCAAATGGCTCTTTGGCTTGAGCTGAGACATGGAAAAACTGAGGTTTGGAGACATGAAGGGGCCCAAGTCCTCAAAGCTGGCTCAAGACACAGCACTGCAGAGGATTCCAAAAGGGGATGTTTCCAGAGAACAAGTGTGGTCCAATATACCTGGGGATCTATGTTGGGTCCTTGTGGCTGGGAGAAGTTACTTTTTTTCTTTTAAAGTTTTTGGCCACACCACGTGGCAGGTGGAATCATAGTTCCCTGACCAAGGATCATACCCAGGCCCCCAGCAGTGGAAGCAGAGTCTTAACCACTGGAAAGAAGTCCCGGAAAAATTACCTCTGTAAGACTCAGTTTCCTTCTGTTCAAAATGGGAATAGTGATGGAATTATGAGAATTCAGTGCAGAAATGCAGTGAAAGTTCAGTATCTGGCCCTGGGAATGGTGGCCGTACACTGCCAGGCAGCAGCCCTGCCCCAGTTACAAGGGAAAGAGCTGGGTGGAAGGGGACCTGTGCTATTTTGCCTCTTAGTCCAACGTGCCTCTCAGGATACTGTTCCGTCTTTCAATATTCTGGACAGTAGTTACTATGACACCTAGCACAATCTTAGAGTGAGCTGGAGCATAGGATTTTAAACTGAGACAGGAGGGCTTGGGAACTCTGGACAGTATCTCTGCATTTGGAACCTTGTTCATAGATATTAGAGCTAGGGTTTTTAGGTAATAGGTTGTGCTCTTGAAAACAAGGGTCCTTTTCCAGCCTCATGAGTGCCTTGCACTAAAGATGCTCAGAGTCCCCACCAGAATGGGTGACCGACCTCGTCTGGATCTTACGCAGCAAGGAGGGGCTGTCCTGTCCCCGGTGTGAGCATGTACTGGCAGGAAGTCTGTGTTCCAGCCCAGGACTGTAAGTCAGGCTTGGAGGTTCAAAGATGCTGGTATTCAGTCTATTTCCAAAATGATTTGTTCTAAGCTAATTAGTCTTCTAGTTTCTATACAAGTCATGAGCAAGAAACACTTTCACCTTCAGAAAGATGCCTTTTAACTTGAAGATCATTTTCATCATTAAAAACAGAAACCACCAAAGATGCTCTCCCCTGTTAGTGCTCAGGAGGGGGCATTCATATACATACAGTTTAATCTTCTGACAGATCTTGGCCAAAAATGGGAATGAACAAATATCAAAACCACTTCTGGAGTATGTCTGGAGAGAAAAGCAAAAACAGAAAGAGTTATTTATTTCAAGGAATGGTTTTCCAGTTTCTAAAGGTACTTCCTCTCTTCTTGGCTCCACATTTTGGATTTCTGGACTCTTCTTTCTCCAGAATCTGGGCCATATTACTTAACTTAATTTACCCCGTTCCTGTCCCCACACTCCAAATACATTGCACCTGTGTGCTGGCTCCTTCGCTTGAAGGTCTCTCTTCCCCCAGCCAGCTAGTCCCATCTTATTATCTTTTCCAGCTCTGCCCAAAAGAAGAGGCCCACCTTGGTCCATTCTACTTAGACAACATTCTTCTCCTCATTATCTTCAGTGGCTTTAAAACAGGATTTGAAAAATAAAGACTGTTTTCAAATAAGATAATTCCATCCTATTAAGAGATAAAGACTAAAGGGAGAGATGGCTTAGGAAGAAGGAAAATCCCTTCCCTGAGGGGTGCAGGGGTGGAAGGGGTGCAGATGAAGCCCCCCAGAGTTTCCTGAACAAAGGGATTTCAGACAGCAGTTTACATAAGACTCTAGCTGGGGGATAAATTAAAAACCCTGGCTTTTTTTTTAAATTAAACAGTGCTTTTAGAACTATTGCAGTTCCTGTGATGCTTTTTGCAGACAAAAGGAAAAACAACTGGGTAGAAAAAGTCAGGAACTGGCATTTATCAACAAAGAGAGAAAGGGAGAGAGGTATCTCCTGCTTTTTTAACGTTCACTTCACGCCACCTTGATTCGATGAAAGACATACGTTAGCATCTGTTTTCATGAACTGAAAGAAATCCAAAGAGGAGTTTTCACTTTCATAAAAAAAGAAAAAAAAGCGAAAAGCAAAAATATGGTTCATCATCTGCTCTGCAGGAGCCAGTGTGGAGCCAGTGAGTAACCCCCAGCACTGAGGGGCCCCTCCCAGCTCCTTCCCCAGAAACCACACTGAACACTTCAGTATCAGGCAGCCAGAGCTTTGAACCGTGTCTGTGAGCTTCTTGCTTGATCTCCACTTATTGTGTGCATCTGTTAGCAAGATGAGTCCTAAGGTAGTTGCTGCTTAGCCTGAGGAAAGACTACATAGGAATGGTCTACTTTTGGATAGCGGGGAAGCATGTGGTAATTCTCACCAACCTGGAGAGTCCTTCAGATGGCTGTGGATGGTACTAACAGTTGTCAGTATTCTGACCCTAGCAAAGGCAGACAAGTAACCTTTTCTGGCTATAAATGAGATATTTAAGGATCTTCATGGTGTTTGTACAACTTTCTAGAATGAGGAACAATCCTGACTAGTGCCCTCAACTACATGCAAGAGGTGGAGACAGAAGAGGCTGTCCTTGTCGCCATGGAGCCTACTGTCTAGTGGAGCATAGGGGTGGATAATCCCAGCTCTTAGCATGCTCTGTGAGGGCTGCCGTGGTCCAGGCATTAATATGGCTTTCTAGGAACTGGAGGAGGAGGCAGGCGAGAAAGGAAGAGACAGATGCTCCATGCTTTTCAACCCAAAGGCAGTTTGCAGACTTGGCTACAAATGTAATTCGTGGGCTCCACCACAATCTACTGACTCAGAAAGCCTGGTGAAGGCCTGGGAATTTGTGTTTTCATAGCTCCAAGTCATTCTGATGCTCACTAAGGTTTGAGAACCACTGCTGTAGACTTTGGCTGAAGAAAGTGTGATCACAAACCGGAAGCATTGGATGTCATCCAGGAACTTTTAGGACTAAGAGTCTCTGGCCGCACCGTTGCTCTGTCGAATCAGAATCTGTATTTTTAAAAGGTCCCAGGTGGTTGGAGTCCACACCAAAGCCAGAGAAGTAGAGGAAGCACCCCACACAGGGCTGTGGGCATACGAGTGGGGCTGGCATCTTGCAGGACATTTCAACCTGGCTGGAGCATAAGGATCCAGGAGAATGAGGTGGACCACGGAAGGAAGGACATATTAGGATGAGCCTGGAAGGCTGCATCATGTGCTGTCCTGAGGGCAGTGGGGAATCCTGGGAGAGATCACACTGTATTTCAGAAAGACTTCTCTGGAGGAGACGTGAAAGCCTGGAGGAGGCAAGATGGGACAGAAAAACCCGTTGGCAGATAAAGACTCTAAGGCCTGGTCTTGGGCTCTCTAACCTCAGCACTATTGCCATTCAGGGCTGAATAATTCTTTGTTGTGGGCTGTCCTGTGCATTGTAAGCTATTTAGCAGCATATCCGGCATCTAGTCACTATAGTCAGCAGCCTCCAAATGTTTCCAATTGTTCCCTAATTTCCCCAGGAGAGGTGATGGGGGTCAGCATTGCCCCTGGTTGGGAATCACTATTGGAAGGCGGGAGGAGGGGGATGGGGGTACAAAGATGGGATGTTTGGAGAGCTGGTAACTGAGTGAGATGAATAGCGTAGACACACTGCAAAACACACACCAGCATGCAATTATACCATAACATGGGTGGCAATTTGTAGAGATGCTTTCCAAGATCCAGAATCAGGTTGCATTTGAAAGTTTGAGTTACTTGTTTTTATATTTACTTTGTCTGAAGGCCTTGGTCTAATTAACTTAATGGCAATGCAGATTTTAACATGGATGATAACCAATACATCAAACATTTTATAAGGACAGCCTGATAATTACTACACAGGAGATACAGTGGAATAAAATGCACAGCTGTTCAATGTCAAAATTCAGCCTGAAGGCTGCAGCTGTCTTTGACATTCCTTGTGCAGAAACTGGATCTAGGACGTAGACAGAAGGTGATGTAACTTGTCCAGGGATCCCCAGAACTCCTTCTGTTAAGACAGATGTTTTGATCATCCAGCTTTTTCATCACATGGTATGGGAAGGACTAACCTCTTCTTACAAATTTGCAAAGGGAACTTAGATTGACACAGAGCAGCACTGAAGAGAACCTCACTTGCATATTTGACAGCTCCTTCCTTTCAATTCAAACCTTACTAGACAGAGGCAGAATGGGGGCTGTTATTATCTTAGAGATGGATTTAAACAGCACATCTGGCTGCATGTAATCCCATCTAAAATGAAAGTCCCAAATCTGGGCTGTCCTGGGGCATAGGATTCAGGCAGCATTTTCATTTTTGCCATCTATTTAGCCAACTTCTACTTGCATCTGGAGCTTTGCCCATCCCATGATGTTAAATGAATACAGAACAATAAGCAGAAGTTAAATAAATGAGAATGTGGTGAATGGGGTATATAGAGGCTCAAAGGGGGAGCATAACTTCTCTTCTGCATTGAGGGCAGATTCTTTATCATCTGAGCCACCAGGGGAAGCACCCTTCTGTACATAGCCAACTTAAAATTGAATTTCTGAGTGATATAGTACTTTTAAACCATTGTCATATGTTATTTTACTTGAATTTGCTTGAGTGCTAAATTGCTTCAGTAGTGTCTGACTCTTTGTAACCCTATGGACCATAGCCTGCCAGACTTCTCTGTCCATGGGATTTCCCAGGCAAGAATACTGGAGTGGGTTACCATTTCTTCCTCCGGGGGATCTTCCCAGCCCAAGGATCGAAGCTGTGTCTCTGTCTTGGCAGGTAGCTTCTTTACCACTGAGTCACCTGGGAAGCCCTGGGCAAGTCTGTACAGTAGCAATTTTTAAAGTCTTTCCAGATGGTTCTGTTGAGTAGGTAGGTTTACCATCAGGGCCATCAGGTTCAGCTGTACAGATTGTACACTGCACAATTTTAATAGTCACACAGCCTGTGATGGGAATGGTGCTTCCTGAAATTCAGTACTGAGGAGGTCTGGTTGAAAGCCATTGTAATGGTGGAAGGGTTAGAAACTGGGAAGAAGCTAAACCTGGACTTAAATGATAGGTTTCTCACTTACAAGCTATGTGGAATGAGGAAATTGTTTAACCTATCTGATTCTTGGTTTTTTTATCTGTAAAATGGGGTTGATAACAAAAAGACGCTAGCTACTTTGTAGGCATTTTTGCGAGAATAAACTGAGGACATAACTCAAGTATTCTAAACATTTAGACGCTCAGGGATCTGCCAAATCCATGAAGACCTCCCCCCAACCCCTGCGCCCGGCTCCCCAACCATAACACTTAACTCTTCCCCAGTATGGATTTTCTGACAGGTTATGCTGAAATGATATGCAACCTACTGTGTGTCTCTCTGCATTCTGGCTAGATCTACAGTTACATCAGCCATCACAATGGAATTAATTGCAGCCACTATCCTCTGAGCAGTTTTTTAAAGACTCTTATTTGCATTTCCTGATTATTTTTTCTTTGATAGCTTTAATTTAGAGAGTAAATAAATTGCACGATATTTTTGAGGAGCTTTTTTTTATTGTTGGATTGTTCAGTTGTTGTTGTTTTTTTTTTTTTTTTTGCTTCTTGCAAGGCATGATTGGAATCCTGCCCCATGAATTATGCTGGCAATTTTGGTGACAGAAATGAAAAATTGTAAAGTCCTAATTAGCAATGCCAAGGCAGTTTGTGCTAGTGAAGTAAACAAGGCTCTGAGAATAAATTTTTAGATGCATATTGAGAAGAATTAAAAGAAAAATGGTATTATCCTCCAGTCTGTTTAGGGTTCTGAAGGTGGTGGTCAAGGTTTCATGTGAAGCTTCAATTTCTTGTTCCATGTCTTAAGCAGATTAATTGAACCAGCTATGGTTGGCCTTTAATTACTCACTGAATTAAATAATAATTGACGATGCAGGCATTATGATTGATTAATCAATAGAAATGTCTTCATGCTGTCTTTCAACATGTATCAGACTTGTACATCAAAACCCATGTGTTCCCCTCAACTAGGGTTGCCAAATAAAATATTGTGCTGGACATACTTATATGAAAAATTATTCATTATTTATTTGAAATTCAAATTTAATCTTCTGTTTTTATTTGCTAAATCTGGCAGGTTGAGCCACAAGGAATTTTCCTCCCCTTTATTTCCATGTTGCCAAATCAATACTACTTTGAATGTATTGCATCAGGTGAAAGATAAACTGGGCCAGCAGGGAAGAGCCAAGGATGAGGGCCATGTCCTCTCATCTCTGATGAGTGCTTCCTTCCTGCCAGAACTGCTAGCATCAGGGGAGACACTTCTTCAAAGATTTACCTTTCTGCTTCCTTTTCGTCTGGGACTGATTGACCAGCAGGGCCCAAGTCAAATACTTGACTTTATGATAACCAGTTCGAACTAAGCATTCTGTCTGTTGAATAAAACTATGATTGCAAAGAGGAAAAATTAGGGGAAAGGAATAATAATGGTGATGGTTTTAGCTAGCATCTGTTGAGCGCTTGATAAGTCCCAGGTATGATACTAGGCACTTCACACACATGGACTCTCTTAGGTCCTGATACCTAGTTTTGAGAATGGAACGCTGCCATTGTCCCTCTGTCACTGATAGGGAAACTGAGGCTCAGCCTAGATCACATATTTAGAAAGTGATGGAGCAGGAGGCTACAGTCTCCTCCAATATCATCTGCTGGAGGGCAGCAATTCTCAACAGTGAGTGCCAGAGGATAATGTGGCAATGCTAGGAGACATTTTTGGTTGTGGTGACTATGGGGGGGGGCGGTGGCATCTAGCGGATAGAGGACAAGGATACTGCTAACATCCTACAATGCCCTGGGCAGAACCCACAACTAAGGATTATCCAGCTCCAACTGGAGGTGAGAAATGCAGCTGTAGAGAGAAGGGAGGAGAAAAAAGAGGAAAAAAGAGGACAGGGTTCATATTCCTACTTGAGTCCCAGTTCAACTGTGGAGTGTTGTGGGCTTGTGTCAGGAGTAGCCCCTGGCCCTTTGGGGTGGGAGAGCAGGGGCCAGAGGGAGGTGAAGGTGCCAAGGACCATGCTGGCATTCTCCCTGTCAGTTGCTTACCAGAGCTGGGGATTTCTTGACAATCTGTCTGGCCTTCTCAAGGGTAAATTTCCATGCCTCCTATAAAAATAAAGTTAGGCAATATTACAACTTGTATCCCATCTTTTCTTTTTCTGGGTTTCCAAAGTTAGGTTTTTTAAGTTTGTAACTTGGCAATAAATGCATTATTCTATAGCTTTCTGATAAAATAACTCACAGGAAAGCAATTTCATGTTAATAACTCTCTTTAATAAGGGATTTGCTTTGTGCCAGATGCTACACTAAGTGCTTTGCAAATATTATGTTATTTAATCTTCACAGCATCTCTGAGAGTATATGACCTTTTTACAGATGATGAAATTGAGATACAGAAGAGCTAAGAAATTAGCTGTAGATCTCAGAGCCAGTGTCCAAAAGAGATGCCATCTGAACCTTCGTCTTCCTGCCTGCTATGCTAAGCTCAGTGACTTGTCTTTGGGTCTGAAAGCCCCAGTGCAGGAGGTGAAAATTTCTGTTATGATTTCCTTTTTGGTGGCCCTTGTTAGCTCAAAGTTCATCCTCCACAACATCGAGGGTGGTGTTCTTCTGCCTTAATTATGGGTCCCCTGTTTCTCTGCTTTGGAAATACCCCTTTGTGTTTGAGGCCCATCTCAAGCATCTATAGGGTCTAGCACAGTTCCTGATGCATTGTAGGTACTCAACAGATATAGAAGTAAAAGTGAAAGAAAACATTTATGATATTGTGCCAAAGAAAACATAGGTTATCAGATTTTGCACATACAGAAAAGAAAAAACAAAAACAAAAAAACGCTGCAAATGTGCGCGTGTGTGTGCTCAGCCAACTCTTTGCAACCTGGTGGACTATAGCCCACCAGGCTCCTCTGTCCATGGAACTTTCCAGGCAAGAGTACTGGAGTGGGTTGTCATTTCCTCCTCCAGGGGATCTTCCTGACCCAGGGATCGAACTTGCATCTCCTGTGTCTCCTGCGTTGGCAGGCAGACTCTTTGCCACCACACCACCTGGGAAGCCCCTTGCAAAGAGATATGCCATAATAATAGTTGATGATAACTTTTCCCTAAATTTTCAATAATGAGCACAAATTCAGCAATAAATGCTTTTTTTAAAAAAAAAAACTCAATACTCATTGCCCTGTTGCTTATTGAAAATGATCTGTTCCCAGTACAGGGATGTAGTGAGGACCCTGAGATCTGGGGGTGAATGGACACTCCTGTCTTCCAAATTCCCATTCTGGCAAGGAGGCACCAGGAACAGATACAGTAAGTGCCACAGTAAGTGGAAGTGAGATGAAGCAGAGAGAAGGTGCTGGAAACATCTTTTTAGGAAGGGCCATTTGGATCCCCTTGAGAGAACTGATCTGGTTTTAACTCAGCTCAGTTCTCTAGGTAGATCAATGTTTAGAGAGGAATACAGACAAGGAAGAAAAAGGAGGAGAAGAAGAAGTGACAAGGGCTTTGCCAAGTACCTTCTGACCCCTTGTGCTGGGAATAATTGCTGCCTCTGGGTCCCCCTGGAACGCTGAGGGCAGATGTGTATGGTCTTGCCTTGACAAGAGCAGCGCTGTCTCCCACAGTTAAAGTGCAATACCATCATAAGAGAAATCACGAGTGCCTTTAAAAGGTGCTTTTGGTAAAGCTAAATCCTATGTATTGGAAAATAGTCACCGTAGGATATAGTGGAACACAGATATAATAATAGACTGCAAATTCTACCCAAAGGTCAGACATGCCACTATTTGATAAAAAATTAAAAGCAGAGGAGCTCCCTCCATTTGTCTTCCTACATAACAGAAATGGCCTCAAAGCCCCATTTGTCCTTTTCTCTTAACTCTTCTGTCTTTCACTGGAATTATTTATGCATTTACTACCTCCAGTGAGCAGTCAAGTCCTCAGGAACAGCATCTTTCAAACCTTGCTCCATTTGTAAATTAATTTATGCCATTAAATTTGGGAGTGAGGAGCAGCTTGTCCTAATAAACTTTTAGAAAAGATCAGGAGTAGATCAGTGAGCTTCTCCCCATCCCTAAAACCCCTCCTAAATGCCTGCTCTTTGACAATAAAAAAATTTCACGTCTAAAAGCATCATTTTTTGTCTCAGGGGGCTTCTTCCTTTGTGGGAGCTTGTCACTGCTGTCAAAGTGTGATGTGAAGAAAAGGCACTTTCTGTGATTTTCAAATCTACTGCTGCTATAATTGATAGCAGAGAACTTGATCACTAAAAATTATTCCCTGTAGAAACTCATGTCTAATAATACCATTTTTATTTCCTTCACTCCTGAGTGTAGCAGAATTCAACTCTTTAACATCACAGAACCTGAGAAGGACCAGTTTGTGACTGTGTCCTGTCTAATTCACCCACACTCCTGAAATGTTGAGGGACATTATATTGAGATCTGGAGCATCCCGTGTACACTGTATTCTCTGCATGTTTTCCCATCCTTGCCAGTATAGTGGGTGTGCTTTGGCTGAAACGTCTGAATGTTTGGGAAATGCCTTTCCAAAAGGTACTCCTTACCCTAAAGTAGCTCAACCCCTTGAATATGCTCATATGTGCAACGGCTCTCCCAGCAGGAAATTTAGTTTACAGACTCCCCAAACTTTTAAAACTTAACAACAATTTTCTTTTCTAGCACACCCATTAACATCTCCCAGAGTGGGAGTAAAAGCAAGGGTTTTTGTGTCAAACATGTCTCATTTGAATCTGAAGAGAATCACTTACTGGCTTTGTAACTTGGGACAAGTTATTTATTCACACTAAGCCTCGGTTACCTCATCTATAAAATTGGGATAATAGTAATTGCTGGTTAACACTTTCTACATTGTAGTCTTACCAGTTTGCTGTCATTCTTCTCTCCCAGGATACAAAACCCTTGATGAGAAGGATTATGTTTCATTCACTATTACATCCCTAATATATAATTCATGGTATGATACAGATACTTTAGAAGAACTTGTGGAATGAATGAATGAATGATTGCACAGAGAAATGACTGGTTGAATGAATATTTCTTTGTTTTTTCATTATCAATCATATGCTCGTGACTATGCTTGTGCCTGGGTTACATGAATTTCCACACAGGTGCATAGATGCTAGGCATATAGAGCCAGAGCTCTTCCCCAACCATGTGATCCTTCGCGTTAAATCATCCACATGCCATAGGAGCTAAATTTACCATTCCCCTGAGCCTTGGTGATATTATCTGGCTTGTGTTAAAATTTCAGACTTAATTTATTCTTGGAAAACAGCATGACAATGGTGGGAAAGGTGCTGGAATTCAGCGACTTGGACCACATGCTCTGCTTGCAGATGGCCATGGTTAAATAATATAACCTCCAAGTCTCTGCTATCTGTAAAATTGGATGTAAAGACTCAAAGACATTTGTTAAAGCCATTTGTTTGCTTGTCTTAAAGACAGGCAAAGGGGGCAAATTGTAATCAACACGAAAATGAAGATAATTGTTCTCTCACCTTGGTAGCATTTTCACTGTTGGCAACCTAGCATTTTTAAGCCATTGTTTCTAAAGCATGAGGACCAAGCTTCTATCTTCTGGAAAACTACAACTTCAGAATGGAGGGTGCAACTGTAATCAGTGATTGGAGAGAAAGTTGGGGAATAAATAGATTGTGAGCCAGATATAAAACTCCTGGCTGGAAGCCATAATGATGTTTCTGACTGACTGAGAGCAAGCATCTGAGCATAAGCAAATTCTCCATCAACAATGAGGGGCTTGGTTCGGGAAATACTCATTTGATCCTGCAATCTGTTATGGTCAAATCTTTTCAATTTCTCATTACTTTCTCCCTTTGGTTGAGAAGTTTCCTTATTCCAGTTTCAAATCTTCTTCGGAGTCTCATGGGTGAATTGCAGAGGAAGCCATTACGCCAGCTCACAGAGATATAAGCCCTCACTCTAGAAGCTTAGAGTCCAAAGAACTATGGATATGTATATTGCATTTTTTAACTCAAGGACTTGGAAAATTCCAAGGACAACATGACATGGCTCCCTAGCAGTCTAAGACGGGGGAAGGGCCAACCCTTTGCTTGATCACCAGAGCACACAGTGGTATCCACGGAGGCATTGCTTATGTAGTGAGTGAAGTCGCCTAGTCATGTCCGACTCTTTGCGACCCCATGGACTGCAGGAGGAGTGTAGGACCCACACTCCTCCGTCCTTGGGATTTTCCAGGCAAGAGTACTGGAGTGGGTTGCCATTTCCTTTTGTAACAAATAGTAACCTGTCCAACTGGAATTTTCTGGTTTATTATGTTATCTGCATTCCACTGTAACCTATAGTGGCTATTTTCCAACATGTAGGATTTAGCTCTCCCAAAGTCCAGTTTGATTTTGATATCCCCACATTTCCCAGTTTTATGACTCTGGAATATGTGAAAAAAAAATCACATCAGTTTATGTCATTTTCTTCTTCTGAGGACCAAAAAGGGGGGAAAAAAAGAGAGAGAGAGAAAGAACTGTGAAAGTAACTGAAAAACACCACCACTTCTGAATGCATTCCCTTATGCTGTTAAATATCTTTTCTTCATACATATTTTACCATTAGCTAAATTTCCTCTTTTTCTTATCCTGGGACAATTCTGCCTTGTGTATCTATTAGTATCATTTGTACATTTAGTCACACTGTCTCTATCCTTTTTCTCCAGGAAATACCTTTTAAAAAAGTCTTATTTTAAATAACACTATTCCCACCCCACAACTTTTACTGTCATTTCCTGTAGTTTCCAGAGAGAAATATGTTCCTTGCCTCTTTGGTTTCTAGCAGCTATACACACACATTCCTTGGCTGATGGCCTCATCACTCTGACCAGTGCATTTGTTATCACAGTCTTATCCTGTGCTCTTCCTCCTGCCTCTCTCTTATAAGGAACTTTGTGATTACATGGGGTTCATCCAGATAACCCTGGATAATCTCTCCATCTCTAGATCCTTAATTTAATCATACTTGCAAAGTCTTTTGTGATTCTGAGGATTAGGATATGGACTTCTTTGGGGAGGCCATTATTCTGTATACCATACTGCTCATTCATATTGAATGAATTAAATATTT